AATTGATAATATGAAAAATGAGTATTATATTTAGAATCAAAACCAACTCAAGAATTGGGTCATATATTAAGGACAGGAGGAGTATTAGAATAAAGAGAATATTTACATAATTTTGATTAAAAAATTTCTAGAAAGACTTTAAGAAACAATAATACAGTAAAGAGAGTTTGAAGTTACAACCAAACTTGGGTACAAGAGATGAGAGCAGCCTGTGTTATAAAAAAAATACACTCTTCCATTCTTAATGTAAAACCTAATTAACTAATTTACCTAAATTAATTATGTTAGTTAACTTAGTTAATATAATATTTTTTTCCTAAAATACCCAAATTATCTTTCTTAATTCCCTTATTCCCTTTCCTACTGATAAAGTTAACTTCAGAAAAATTGATAAACATGTAAAATAGATCTTACATATAAACTAACATCAGTTATTAAATTAGGTCCTATATTGAAGACCGGAGGAGTAATATTTACACATAATGCAATAAATCAATATCTAACAGGGAAGTTTCTACTATGAAAAGCCTGACTAATTGATTATACTGTAAAAAAAAAAAAGAATAACTATATTCACTCCTAAATTTGCACCACCTAACTGCTAGATGGTCCATTGATACATGCTTCTCATACAGTGCCGCAATGGTAGACTGGTGACTATATATATGCACAGAGGTAATACACAAAAATTATACGTGTGTGTGTGTGTGTGACATGGCGCTGCATAAATACCAGTAATATCTGCATTGATTAAATATGCCACTAGCGAAATGTTTGGTTTCTATGGTCAATAATACACATATTATACAAAGATCGGTGAATATTACAGTAATATGGCACAGAGATGAAAATAATGAAATATCCAATTAGCATTTGGATAGGCCATTGAAATGTTTGAGCTCTGACCTATGGTCAATACTGCACATATATCTAACATTTGTGGGTGAATACTAGGGATAAAAATGATGAAATATCCAAGTAAGAATCTTCTTCAGTGGCCACTCAATTACCCATGAAAGAGAACTAACCAAGAAACAGATAACCCATTGAGTTGCATTCAGGCTCATGCAATCTGCTAGGCTATTTGCAAATTGAATCACCAGAACCTGCATAACCAGGCAAACCCCTAATGCGACCAAGAAACAGTAGCTCAGAGGAACCATCTTGAAAACTCCCTTCTTCATTGCTAGGCCCAAGAAGTTGAGCTGCTTGAAGACCTGACATAACATGAATATGTTGAAGATCATAGTCTTCCTAACTTGTTTTGTGCTGTCTGTAACTTGTCCTCCAAAAAGAAATATCATAGAAACAGAAGCCCGCAGCAAGACATCAATGGCTATGTCTTTCCAGATTTCTTGGGTTATAAGTGACTGCTTCCGGTTATTTGGTTGGTTAGCATGCTGATCTTCCCTGATGTCTAAATTCATTAACATCATTAGGCCTCCCAAAATGCACACTATCGAGTTCACCCAAATCAACTGGATGGCCGTTAGGGGAGACTGTCCGGTGCACATTGTTGTAATCAAGGTTATGAATAACCCAGATAAGTTAGTTGTGAGCTGAAATTGAATGAACTTTTGAATGTTGTGATATTGACATCTCCCAGCCCTCACAATTGTAGTTATTGCACTGAAACATTCAATAGATACATTTGAACTCTCCATATCAGATTTCAGGTTCTGAGACTTAGCATCGATCACTATATCAGCTGCCTCTCGAACTGCAGGGTCATTTAATGTCAATCCTCCAAAGAATGCAACCACGTCACCCTCATCTTGCAAACACCTAATCATGAGAACCTTGTGATCAGGAAGGAAACCTCCCATTACCAGTGCTTCATCCAACTTCTTTGACCTGGCTGGGCCATTTAAATCTTGAATTTCTTTTCCTTGAAGAATAAAACCATCTTCAGCGGGAACTTCTATTCCTAGTTCACAAGCTAAGGCTTTCACTGCCACAATGTCATGCCCTGACACTAATTTGATCTTGATTCTTTCATTTTTTAGGTCTGTCAAGGCTGATCTTGTCTCTTCAAAGAATGAGCGTTTGAGACCACCAGAGCTAGCAAGATTAGACCATCTCGTTGAAGTTCCTGAGCCTCAGTCTTTTGATAAGCAAGTGCAATAGGCTCAAGGCCGCTATCCTCCATTTCTTTAATGACTTCCCCAAATTTGATTTTCTGATTTGTTATGCCATGGTATTCGCCATTACTATCATAATAGTGTGAACACATTTCCAGTATTGTAGACGCTGCTCCACTCCAGTGCGAGTGCAGATCTTTTTCATGGTCTCCAACTTTTCTCACCAAAACTCCATTTCCCTTTCCCTGAGCATTTGTTTGCTATGCTCTGAAGAATGGTAAGGTTCTCACCAAAAGATTCTCTGTTCACGCCCCAAGTGTTTTCTGCCCAAGAAATAAGTGAATTGGACACTGGAGAAAGAATAAACTCCGGGGCAAGAACAGATACGCTGGCTCCTTGCTTAAGTTTGTCGAGCACAACTTCATTAATTTCTGATGTCATATCATTGCTGATATCTCTCTCCCCAATCCGAATTCTACTAACCTCCATCGGTTTAGACATTAGCCCACCAGATGCATCAACACAGATGACTGTAACCAGTCCCATTGTTGCACAAGACGATAAATCATGAAGATCTGCAACTTGGTTTGATACCACCTTGTCCATTTGGTATTTCAGAGAAATCGTAACCATAAGTGGCACCCCATGTTGCATACTTATTATTGCAACAGTTATAAGGCTAGTTAAAATGGAAACTTTTCCTTGGGGTTTCAAGAAAATTCTCTCCATCAATTTTATCAGGAAGTCAACTGAAACCTTACCCTTCATTCTGGTAACCCACTGTTGTCCCCATTTTTCTTGCGAAGCAGGCGAATGAGCACCACAAGCATAACCAACACAGAGATAAGAAGGGCAACTTTGTCAATGAAAGAAATCGGCTTCTCAATTCGACTTTCCAACAGCATAATCTTTTCAGGATTATTTGCTGCCGAATTCTGCATCTCAACTGATATTCTGTTTCCAACTGATGTTACAAGCATCGAAGTTTCACCCTCAAAAGATATTTTTGAACCAAACAAGAGAAATGGATCTGTGTCTCATCCAGCACAGAGTTTTCATTATTTAGAAGCAAACCATCAGCTGGAACCTCGTCACCCATCTTAAGACACACTGTATCACCAACCATAATATCTGATATGTCCACCGTTTGGAGAGTTCCGCCTCTAACAACAGTAAATTTCAACTTGCATTTCTTCTGTGACAATTTTAGCATCTTTCTTTCACGCCAAAAGCTTTGCACAGAAGAGAAAGAGATAATCATGATTATCGCAACAAGTACAGCTGCAGTATCATGCCAACCATATTTAGGTCCTTCCAGCTTGATCTCTATGGCCAAGGACAACAGAGCTGAGATCATGAGTAATGAAATTGTGTAACTATTGCGTCTGCAACTATTGACAAAACAGCACGAGAGGCTCAGTCCATGACCTTGGTTAGTGGCCTCCAACACTTGATGGTTCCCATTATTAATATTGCTCTCCTGTTAAAAGAAAATGAATTTAATAAAAAATCACATCTTTCTCAAGAATCAAAGAACAAACTTTAAAGCAATTCTTGGCTGTGCACATTCAATAAATAAATGAACCAAATTTGATTTGTACATGGGGAGCCCACGTATGGATCCAATATGGACCTACATCGGTAGGAGGCTACGAAAAGTTCCCCCCAAACTGGTAGATTCTGTAATGGATGGAAATGGCAGAAATAATATTCTAACAGAATCGGCAAAAAAACCACAACTCGCTACTGAAACCACTACTTAAACTTCTGAAATCAAAATCAATAAACAAAGTCTTGGGTCTGATACAAAGAAAGAACAGATAACAGGGGACGAACACAGCTTGATATAGAGAACAAAGAAACAGTAACGAAGAAGAAAAGAGACTTGAACGGAAGAAAGCCACACTTCAGAAAAATAACAGAGAGAAACGTCAATCACAAAATACTCCAGCCCACAAACAATATCAGAATGATATCATATAATTGCTCATTCCCTCAACTTCAGGGGCGGCCGGTAGCCTTCCCTTGCTCCTTCGGACCACCACTTGCTCATCGTCCTCACTTTTCTGGTTGCAGTCCACGTGTACCGTGTGTTCCCCGTTCAAAATAGGCTTTAGTACCGCAGATTCTTCCTTAACAGTTTCATTTCGCATTAAAATAATCTCGGTGGTTCCAAAACACCTTCACGCACCAGTGACACCAAAACGCAGAAACATCAGTAAAAATGGGACAATCATAAACGCCCGCATGTCGATGTTCACATATTTATCCAAAGGATCTCAATTAACACAAAATGCGAAAGGCAATTCTACAGCGAGCTTTGTTTTTAGGAGCTTGGACCACTTCAAGATTCGAAACTAAAGTAAAAGTTAAAAGTGAGGATCACAATCCAAACAGGGAAGCTTAACTTAGAGGTAGTTATTATGTCCTTATTGATCAGATATACACCTCTGATTGACGACGACTAAGAACTGAACGAACACGGTCGACTCCCCCGAGCTCACGAAGCGAGTCCAAATCCTTGCGCTTCACGATACCAGCAATATCGCTTTTGATGCGCTGTTCCAAACGCAAAATATCCTCCTCTTCGTTATCAGAGGGAACATCAATCGCACAGAAGATTTAGCCGAGGAAGTTCTCGTGGGAAGTGATGGGGACGGGGGGTAATGACGTGTACTGAGATAATTGTTCAGATTCGCGTGTGGCAGTAGTAGTTAGTTGTGGTCGTTCGCTTGCGAGATATGAAGATTCGAATGTACAAGCTCCGACGCCATAGCCGACCGTACTTGCTAGTGACGAGCAAGGAAGCATCCAGTGCAGTACTGGTATCATCTTCGACAAAATCGTTTGGCTGCGAGGAGGACATATCTTGTGATTGTGACTGTGTTCTTCGACGGAAAAAATGGATATCAGTCTCCGGTGACGCAAAAGGAAGAAGAAGAAGGTCACTATCCGACGGAAGGCAATTTCAATTTCCAAACTAAAGACATCAAACTGGGATTAGCTACTACTCTAATTTATTTTCATCAAGCTCATACGTAAGCTGAGGAGGAAGGAAGGAATTTATTTTATAAGTTTAAATTTTAAATTAATTTAATAAATTAGTTTCAGTAAGTTTAATCTTTTTACAAATAATTTATTATAATTCAAAATCTAATGTGTTGTGTTGTTCACACTTTTATTTTCTTATTTTTACTCAAGACATGTTAATTATATTTTTCTTTAATTTCATCGTGTTTCCTTTTTAATTTTTTTTTAAAGTCTAGGAGATGAAAATTAAAATAAAAACAAACTTAAAAAAGTAAATTAGACATTTAAGAGTTGAAAATGACAAAGAAAAAGTAGTGCTTAATTTGGTATTTTGTAAAGGTAATTAAATGATTAAAATGTTCTTATATTAAAAAGTTTAATACAAGTGTTGAATGACAAATAACAAGAAATATATTAGTAATGACAAATTATTAATTAACAAATTGTGAATTAACAATAACAAATATTAAATAGCTAATAATAAAAAGTATACTAATAATAACAGTTTTTTTTAGTCAAAGTCAGTGACAAGTTTGATAGTTTTTTTCAAATACAATACAAGAACATTTTTTTCCTGAAATTTTACCATTTTGCTTTGCCACAAATACTTTATCTATTTTAGTAAATATTTTATTTTATCTTTTTAGCCCCAAGAAAATTCAGGGACGCCAATGAAATGCCGCGTCTATACTTTACATACACCGCGTTGCTACAAGTTTCAAATTTCAAGGTATATATTTTCAAGAAAAAATGACATTGAGGTCCCATGCAACACAAAATACTACAAAAAAGTCTCAGGAAATTTGGTAATGATTCTGAAGTCCTAAAGAGACTTGAGTGCAATTTGATGAATTGTAAAAAGACGCTTCTGCCCCTGGTGAGATGCACCTAAATTAACTGAAAGTTGCCCTGTTTTTCAGTCTGAAAATCAGCACTCTATACGCAGGAAGCAAGAGGGAAAAAACCCAAATTTCATTCTGTTTCTTCCTCCATTCCCATCTGAAAATCTCATCCACTCTATTAATGTCAATCATTGCCAAAAATCGCTTGTGTTTTTGGTTTGGTGTGTATTTGGTCATTCAAGTTGAGGTTTTATTATAGGTAGGTAGGGTGATTATGGGTGTTCTGTTTCTAGGTATATTGTGGGTGGATTGAAGGTGGGCTTGCTCTGTCTGGGCATAGTTCAGGGAGAATTGATGAGAAAGATGAAGGTTGGTGTGATTAGAAACCCTTACTGCGAAATAGGAAAATATGTTGTCAATATGGGCCGCGACAGTTGTCAATATAGCTCCTTGACTTGTCAATAGTAACAGCATTGTACAGATTTACATTAACTGATTTTTTAAATTTTTTACACAAAAGTCATGACCTTCTGTACCCTTGACTCATTGGTAGAGGTCACAAAAAGAGGAAGAAGAGACAGCAAAGAAGAGTGAGTAGTTACATGAGGCAAAAGGAAAAAAATGGAAGAAAAAAAAAGCCACTTTGATCCTAGACAAATGATGGCAAAAGAATTTTTTCGTAAATAGAAGTGACATAAATTTTTTCTGTAGATGTCACAACACACACAAATAATTAGTTTGATACTGGATACGTGCAACTATATTTTTTTTAATGGGTTATAAAATCGATGTAATTACATGTATATGAAGTTGTAAATGAAAGTTAGCTATGTATTACATTCTGATGCATAGTTAGTTGTCATTATACGCAACCTTCATTGTCAATATATGCTTTGTTACTTGTCACTCACTGCACCATTAGTTGTCAATTAATGTGCCGATATAAATTTAAAAAAATATGATTTTCATTACATAATGTTATACAACGTCATACAATATCACTAATTCCTCAAAACTAATTCATTTTTTATAATGTGATATAGAATAGTTATTAAAAGTCAATCATCACTTATATGAAGTCATAAAATCACTTGTCATGAACAACACATTCACTTGTTAATGGTTTTGCTCTGTTCTGATGTTAGTTTAGTGGCAAAGGAAGAAAAAAATTAAGGTTAGTGTGGGTGGAAAGATATTGTGTTGTCAATTAGGTCGCGATAGTTATCAATGTGTGCCATGACAGTTGTCAACGTAGCTCCTTAACTTGTCAATGACAGTTGCGTGATTCTTGATGCACATTTAAATTACTGATGGCGAGTACATCTGGAAAGCATCTATTTTACTTTGTTTACATAGGGAGAAAGTTTATAAATGATAAAGAAGATGATATGAGATATGTGGAAGGTAGTGTAAAAACAACAATATAAAGGAGAGCACAACTTATGAAGAATTGAAGGAAATTACATCATCAATTGCTGGAAAAGAAAGTAACTCATTTCTTTTGAAATTCTTAGTTATGTATAGCTCAACAGCACCCAACATAAAAATTAACAACCTGAGTTATCCAAAATAACAAGTAATATAGCAAGAGTTAATAACAAGTGATATAACAATTTCATAACAAATGAATGTGTCGATAGTAACAATTAATATTCAAAAATTTTACAACTGAAGGTGTCATTTATTTATAATGTTAAGTGATATTTGCATTAAAATATAATTATTATGAAGAATGTGTTACTCAAATTTATGTTCAATTGATAAGAGACAGTGCCTTTATTAACAAGTCATAGTGCTCTATTGGCAAGTCACAATGCTACCATTGACAACTGATAATCCGCCGCGGCGTCCCTATCTATCCCAAGGAGCTGCCATTCTGTGTAAGGCGCCGTGGCGGCTGATCATGTCTGCTGTAGCGCCTAACCCTTTCAAGAAGTTATTTGGCGAACAACAAGTCACAGTGTTACCATTAACAAGTCAGTGTACCACCATTGACAAGTCATAGTGCTTCTATTGACAAGTTACAATGCCACCATTGACAAGTCATAGTGCCACTATTGACACTTCATTAATAATGATTATATATGACAATATAACTAAAACATAATATGACAGAGTAATTGAAAATATCATATGATACTAAACACAGGTTATGTAACTTTGAATTCATATTGTTGACAACTTACATCAGCAAATTAATTGACAAGTCACAGTGCTCCGTTGACAAGTTATAACAGGTCTAATAACAATGCAGGGTGCGGGTAATGACAATTGAAATGACAGTAAAATCTAACATGCCAAGTTACACTGAAACCATTAACAAGTGAATGTGTTGTTCATGACAAGTGATTTTATGACTTCATATCAGTGATGATTGACTTTTAATAACTATTCTATATCACATTATAAAAAATGAATTAGTTTTGAGGAATTAGTGATATTGTATGACGTTGTATAACATTATGTAATGAAAATCATATTTTTTTAAATTTATATCGGCACATTAATTGACAATGAAGGTTGCGTATAATGACAACTAACTATGCATCAAAATGTAATACATAGTTAACTTTCATTTACAACTTCATATACATGTAATTACACCGATTTTATAACCCCATTAAAAAAATATAGTTGCACGTATCCAGTATCAAACTAATTATTTGTGTGTGTTGTGACATCTACAGAAAAAATTTATGTCACTTCTATTTATGAAAAAAATTTTTTGCCATCATTTGTCTAGGATCAAAGTGGCTTTTTTTCTTCCATTTTTTTCCTTTTGCCTCATGTAACTACTCACTCTTCTTTGTTGTCTCTTCTTCCTCTTTTGTGACCTCTACCAATGAGTCAAGGGTACAGAAGGTCATGGCCTTTGTATAAAAAATTTAAAAAATCAGTTAATGTAAATCTGTACAATGCTGTTACTATTGACAAGTCAAGGAGCTATATTGACAACTGTCGCGGCCCATATTGACAACATATTTTCCTATTTCGCAGTAAGGGTTTCTAATCACACCAACCTTCATCTTTCTCATCAATTCTCCCTAAACCATACCCAGACAGAGCAAGCCCACCTTCAATCCACCCACAATATACCCAGAAACAGAACACCCATAATCACCATGCCCACCTATAATAAAACCCCAACTTGAATGACCAAACACACACCAAACCAAAAACACAAACAATTTTTGGCAATAATTGACATTAATAGAGTGGATGAGATTTTCATATGAGAATGGAGGAAGAAGCAAAATAAAGTTTGGGTTTTTTCTCTCTTGCTTCCTGCGTATAGAATGCTGATTTTCAGATTGAAAAACAAGGCAGCTTTCAGTTAGTTTAGGTGCATCTCACCAGGGGCAGAGGCGTCTTTTTACTATTCATCAAATTGCACTCAAGTCCCTTTGGGACTTCAGAATCATTACCAAATTTCCTGAGACCTTTTTGTAGTATTTTGTGTTGTATGGGACCTCAATGTCATTTTCCCTCTTTTCAATTGTAGCTTAATTTCTTTTTTTAATTTGATCAAAAGTTTTTCTTTTTAAAATATAGAATGCAAAGGATTTTCGTCTCTTTTCAATGAGTATGGATCTTGAAATTCAAACATGTATTTTTTTTATGAGTGTGAGACCGCTTACTATCTCAACCAACAACTTGTTAGCAGCTATGTTTTAATACAAGAAATATCATTTTATTTAAAATATTTTTATAATATTCAAATATTCTAAATTAAAACTTTGAAATTGTAAACTTAGCTTGTCTCTGTTTGCTCAAAAAATATAATTTTGAGATTGTAATTTATAACCTTGAGAAACATACTAGCTCATTCTCTTAACATAAGAATTAAATAACTAATTTGTAAATATTAGGAAAATTAGTTAAGTTAATTATTTATAATAAATGAGTATTGTCTTTCTTAAATATCCTTATTAATCACATGCATTAAAATAAAAATCTTTTAACATGTGCAATCATCATGGGGACTACTTCAAAA